TAAAAAATAAAACTTTTGAATAACAAAACAAACCATAAGCAAAGTCCAAAGAAAAATGAATGAGATTATGTTTGCAAAATATATAAGAAAGGATTGGTATACAGTATAAATTTTTAAAACTTCACATCCAATAGAAAAACATGCAAAAGACATGAACAGAAAAGTCACAGAAAATCCAAATGTGTGATACTCAAACAAGAAGTTCAACTTCACTTGTAATCAGCAAATTGCTAATTAAATGCTGTATGATTGCCCCAAGTTAAAAATGTGAATAATTTCAAGTGTGGGTGGGGATATGGACACGCATACTCTGTCACCCACTGCAGACTGGAGTATAGATTGGTGCAGACAACTTTGGAGGGGACTTTCGTAGCATCTACTAACTCTAAAAATGCACTTGGACTATGACACAGAGATTCTATTTCTCACATATTTACACACGAGAAACATTCTTACATGTTTACAGGGAGGTATAACCAAGTATGTTCACTACAGAAGTATTAGCAATAACAAAATAATTTTAAGCAACCCAAGTGTCTATCAATATGAGAGTGGTTAAAGTTAACCGAAGATAAATGACGATATATCCAGAAGTAAAAGGAGGCCAGCGTATATGGATTTTAATGAACAAGGAGGAAAGTGGACAGACAGGGCCACCATGCAGGCTGTTCACTGAACATCTCCAGGGAGCACTTTTCACATAGACTGAAATGTGAATGGCACCCCATGGAGTTGTGCAGTGTACCATCTGCATAACGATACCTGGGGGACCTGCAGATGGGGATGATGTCGGGGATTTAACAGGAAACCAAATCATATAAAGCCTCAGAGGCCATGGTAAAGAATCCGCATGTTATTCTAAGTAAAATCCCTAAAGATTATAAACAGGGGAATGAATTCATGGGGTTTTTTTTGGTTGGTTGTTTGTTTTTTGCAGTACGCGGGCCTCCCACTGTTGTGGCCTCTCCCGTTGCGGAGCACAGGCTCCGGACGCACAGGCTCAGCAGTCGTGGCTCACGGGTCCAGCCACTCCGCGGCATGTGGGATCTTCCCGGACCGGGGCACGAACCCGTGTCCCCTGTATCAGCAGGCGGACTCTCAACCACTGCGCCACCAGGGAAGCCCGAATTCATGTTTTTAAAAGATTCCTCTGGCAACTATGTGAAATGAATTAGAGGGGGTTAAGAGAAGTGAAAGGTCAGTTAGGAGTGTATTGTAATGGTCTAATCAAGAGGTGATAGTGACCTCAATCTGGATAGTGGCAATGGAAATGGAAAGTTGTAGACAGACATAAATATATCATCCAGACAGGATCTGCAAGACCTGCTGATGCATTACCCTGGCAAAGGCAGAGGAAACGTTGGAGAGAGTGCAATTAGGATGACTACCAGTTTTCTGTACAGAGCTGTGAATGGATAAGGGATCCATTTACTGATCTGAGGAAGTCTGGGGGAGGAATATTTTTGAGCAGTACAATTTCAAACGTGTTAAACTTGATATGACTGAGATATCCAGGACAAGTTATCAATGAGAAAGGTGGCTATATGAGATTGAGCTCAGAGAAAATGTTTAGACAGATATAAATTTTAAAGGAGCTGTGATATGTTTTTTGAGCACATGGAACTAGATGAGAGATCACCAAGAGAAAGAAAAAAAGAGGGAGGAAGCTAGGAAAGCACTGAGGAATTATAAAATTTAGAGGACAGAGGCACATGCAGCCAGAGAAATAGAATGGGAAACCAGAAGAAATGGCTGAGATGTCCTTCAGTGAGGGAACTGCTAAGGAAATTATCCTATATCCATTCTATAAAATATCATGCCCACACAAATACAGTCAGTTAATCTTTGACAAAAGAGCAAAAGCAATATAATGGAAAAAAGATAGTCTTTCAAACAAGTGGTGTTGAAAAAGCTAGATATGCATATGCAAAAAAATAAATAAATAAAAAGTCTAGACACAGACATTATCCTCTTCTCAAAAATTAACTCAAAATGGATCGTATACCTAAATGTAAAATACAAAACTATAGAACTCCTAGAAGATAGGAGAAAAATCTAAATAACCTTGAGTTTGGTGATGACTTTAGATGCAACACCATAGGCAGGACCCATGAGAGAAAGAATTAAGTTGGACTTCATTAAAATTAACAACTTCTGCTTTGCAAAGGACTTTCAAAATAATGAGAAGACAAGCCACAGACTGGGAGAAAATATTTGCAAAAACATGTCTGAGAGAGGACTGTTATCCCAAATAGGCAAAGAACTTGTAAAACTCACCAACAAGAAAATGAAAACCCCAATTTAAAAGTGGGCAAAGGATCTGAACATACACCTCACTAAGGAAGATATACAGATGGAAAATAAGCATAAGCAAAATGATCTGCATCATATGTCATTAAGGAACTGCAAATTAAAACAACTGTGAGATACCACACCTACTAAAACAGCAAACATCAAAAACACTGACGACACCAAATGCCAGAAGTGGTGTAGAGCAACAGGGATGCTCATGCACTGCTGGCAGGAGTTCAAAATGGTACAGCTACTTTGGAAGACAGTGGGCAATTTTTACAAAACTAAACATACTCCTACCATTGATCCAGCAATGACACTCCTTGGTATTTAACCAAGTGAGTTAAAAACTTATCTCCACACAAAAAACCTGTGCACGGTTGTTTACAGCAGCTTTATTCATAATTGCTGAAACTTGGAAGCAATCAGGATGTCCTTAAGTCAATGAATGGATAAATACGCTGTTGTTCTTACAAACAATGGTATATTATTCATCGCTGAAAATAAATGAGCTATCAAGCCATGAAGACATGGAGGAGCCTTAAATACCTATTACTAATTGAAAAAAGCCAATCTGAAAAGGCTACAGACTGTATGATTCCAACTCTATGGCATGCTGGAAAAAGCAAAACTATGAGGACAATAAAAATATCAGTGGTTACCAGAGGGAGGGGAGAAGGGAAGGGTACATAAATGAAGCACAGTAGATGTTTAGGACAGTAAAACTATTCTTTATGATACTATAATGGTAGATACACGTCACTATACATTTGTCAAAATCCACAGAATGTACACTAAGAATGAACACTAAGGTAAACCATGGACTATTTTTAACCAAGTCTATTTTTTAAAAATACTGTGCAAGTATTTAAAAGAACCAATAGGCAAAACACGCTAAGTCAAAGTTTCATAAAGAAGATTATTGAGTAAAAAAGGCAAGTATATTATGTATAGTTTATATATAATATGGTTTCATTTATGTGAAATAAATCAGATACTAGATATACACACACATTAATTGTATGTGCACTGAAAAACAAGGCCTGGCTATATAATATTCAATAAACTGTTAATAGTGGTTCCTGGGAATTAAGAGAAGAGAAAGAAGAATGACATTTCATCTTTTTACTTTACACTCTTCCGTATTATTTAAATGACTTATAATAAATAGGTCTTGCTTTAGTAAAACTTAAAAAAATAATTTCAAAAGGACACACTTTTTAAACCTTCTCTATATTCTTAATATAAACTTTAATTCAGTGTTTATGAAAATATGGTTCAAGTGACACCTAAGTCAGAAATACCTGGATGTTTATTAAAATATACTTCCTAGACCAGATCTCAGTTTTAATAATTCAGATGCTCTAGCAATGAGGTACAGAACTTTGCATCCTTAGCAACTACCCTGGGTGATTCTAATCTCTGCCATTCTGAATTGCAATAAGTCAAAATGAATGATGTAGTTGCTTAAAAATCAGCAAATGCCTCCGGGGTAAACACTTACCAGATACCTATCAGCCTAAAAGTGAAAGACAACAGTTAGTACAGGCCTGACCCAGAGGGAGAAAAGGCAAAATAACTAGATTAATGGCTCAAGGTAAGTGGTGAACCAGCACACACACAAGAAGCACTGTCACATTATAAAATGAGAAAGAAAGAAGGAATATAGACTCTGTAAAGAGATAAAAACTGCCAAGTGTTCAGAACTTTCCTTCTTCGTCTCATAATTCCCATCTGGTCAGTTATACACAGAAGCAACAAGTAATATCTGAGGGACTATAAATCTGTATAAATGATTCTACTTCAATTCATATTGAAATAATTTTCTCATGCTTAACCTGAAGTAAAACCCAAGAGTTAGCACCTTCTGCAGAGGTATGGTCCTAAATTAATGCCAAGTAAACTGACATTTATTTCGATTTATATAATCACTTAGGGACTTCCCTGGTGGTCCAGTGGTAAAGAATCCACCTTCCAATTCAGGAGACTCGGGTTCGATCCCTGGTCAGGGAACTAAGATCTCACATGCTGCAGGGCAACTAAGCCCACGCGCCACAACTATTGAGCTCGCGCACCTCAACGAGAGCTCGCGTGCCACAAACTACAGAGTCCATGCACTCTGGACCCCACATGCTCTGGAGTCCGCACACCACAACTAGAGGAGCCCACAGGCCTCAACAAAGACCTCGCATGCTGCAACTAAGACCAGACGCAGCCCCCAAAAATAATAATAAAGAAAAAATTAAAAAATATATATAATCACTTAAAATATCTCTTGACTTGATTACACTTTATATTTTAATCAGATATATAGAAACTGAAGAATAATTCATATAGTGATGGCTTCTATCTTCCCCTATTTGAACCTTTTTTAATGTAAGCATTTTTAATGTAAGACATTCCCTAGAATCTCACATTTTTGAGATACGAATAAGATATTCTCAGAATCTATGCATCTGAAGTCTTTCTATAATGCAACCTGGAGCAGAGGATTTGTGTCACACAGTACCAAACAAAAGGAGCACAGACGGTTTTTTTAATTGGCCTCTAGTTAGTGGGATTAGAACAGAGTTACCAAGGTTCAATGTGTTCAGTTGGGAGCAACTCTTGGAAGGTAAGTTCTTAAATGACAAAACTATGTGAATTTATTGTATTTATGAGCAATACACTTTTGAAATTCAGGTCTTTGTTTTGTTTTGTTTTTTAAGCTTTGTCTATAAGTGATCCATCTTTCAAAAGCCACGAATTATCCTGGATGTCTTTTGCTTCCTTTCCTGTTCGAAAAAAGACACATATTCAATTGCAGTTCCAGCCTCTTACTGCAGATGGCATCCTATTCTACGTTGCCCAACGCTTAAAAGCAGAGTCAGGTAAAGTTCGCAAGATCTTTGCTGAGGAAAAAAAAAATTCTAATGAATTCCTAATAGGCTCTTAAGTGATGTGTCATAGAGTATTTTTTTAAGTCACTTAGTCTATAAAATATGTAAACATTTGATCTTTTTGTTCTATTGTCACTGCAAATGTATGCTTTGAATTGACTCCTAAATATGAATGTTAGCAAAATAGCAAGAGCTTTGTTAGAATTACAGTTAGCAAAGTCCAAATATAGCATATGTTCAACTTTATAACAATCCCATCAAAAAAAGAGGTTGAAGCTATGCATAATAGTCCTATGTCAAAATGGACAAAATATGCATATAAAAGATGAAGGAAAGGAAGCCATGACTGATATATTCCCAGTAAATCCATCCACATTTATAATTCAAAAAAATTCCTTTAAGTTATTCAGTCACTTAAATAGTAAACCTGGGACCCATGTTCCAAAATAAGTTTATAAAAATGTTTTTTTAACTATAAAAATTGCATAAATTATCATAATATGAAATAAAAATATTTTAGTATGTTTCAGTTTGAAATTTTGATTTTTGAGTTTTTATTGCTAACTCTTGATTTCCATCTTCATAATATCTTTCTCCAGAACTTTGACAAAGACATTTGCCTATATAGTTACATTTCTACTGCCAAATATTTTTAAATGTTTACATTTGGATTTTCTTTCAACTTGTTTCTCAGAAAATGAAATTTTGGTAATGATAAATAAATCAGTTTATTTTGTTTCAACAGTGAACAAAAACGATGCTCTGATTTTCACAATCTAGTATAAGGAGTTCTTTTAAAGGTGTGTCTCATTATGCTGCTAAATAATGAGACTCTCAGAGAATTAGACAAAAGTGGTTCCATCTCAAGGCACTGGTAAAATACTTTCAAAATAATTTCAAGGAGAAGAGATGATAATTTCAAAGGAAAAAGATAAATCTCTTAGAAGAGGTTTGCTCTCCTGAGATTTGATATTTGGTTTTAAATGTATGATTGATTTAAATCTCCCCGTGAAAATGCCAAATGGGAGAATCATGTACAAACAGAAAATTTCTATTTTTAAATCAAGAGACATTAAAAGACAATCATATTAAGTTGTATTGCTCATAAAAACTCAAGGTTAACCTTTGTATGATAAGGGCAGAAAATCAAGAGATATTCAGGACTGTGACTGGCCAAGAACGTTGTGCTATAGTTTTATAATCAGTACACTGGATAGTTATATTTATGTGTATAAAATAAAAAGCTCATTTACATTAACACACATAGGAGAGAGGGAGAACACTTTCTTACATCTAAATAGCTTTGTATTTCAGTTCATAACAGTCAAGATTTTCCTTTTTTATGCCCTCAGACACTATTAACAAAGATGAAAATAGATTAGTTTCATGTCATAACTGGTGCTGCATTTGACACTTATGTAAGGAACTCATGAAAACTTTAAAATATTAAATCTATACTCTACATTCTCAGACTTGGATTAACCTGAAGGTAATTATAAGATGAAAGGCATAAACTTGTTTATTAATAATCAGGTGGTAAAGTATGTTTCATTTAAAGTTGCATAAAATACAGGTGACTGCCCCATACTTTGACCTTCTCTAAGAGCTATGTCTGATATAAACATTAACCAAGCCTTCTAGCTGATCCTCTGCTGAGAGGAGCTATTGGTAAAAATGCCCAAACATTTAATACACAACGTCAAAAGCCACAAATTTAGATATCAGCAGCCAGTTAGGTTTTCATATGTAGAAAAACAAATTCTCAATTAACAAGGTTTCTGTTTCTCTTTAGAGCTTATTAATTTGAATAATTTCAAATAGTGCAAAAGTTAAAACAAAATAACTTAAAAACCATCCTAGTTGATTTTAGATCTCTGATTATGGAAAGAAATTTTAAAGAGATAAACCTCGGCACTTGTTTATCTGTTTCTGCTAAATATTTAATACCTTAAAATGAGCTTTTTTGATACAAAATCAATTTTATGTTAAGCACCAATTAATCACAGATAGCCTGAATTCATCTTGATGTGGTTACAATCCTCATAGATAAATGTGTATTGAAAAAGCCTCGTCAGCCACAATGTAAAGTTAAAGCATATTCAAACAACTGAACAATAAAAGAGAAATAAACAAGAGCATACAAGCAAAGTCGCGTTAAGATTAGCCTTCCTTGGCTGAAGCTATCCTCCTTGATCTTTCTTCTAGTTGTCAACTTGGCCAGTAATATTACAGATCACAGCTTCAGCTTTCCTAATCATTTTTTATTCCAACGTAGCTCTTTATTGAGGATTATTTACTATAGAACATGCTACAAGTAGCAAGAGAAACTTCTTCCATGATCCTGTGAAAGACGTTTGTGCCCACTTGCAGGCCATAAAGTATATTCGGAGTGTTATAAATTTTAAAACTTAATATCAATTATATTTCATTGTTCTAGGTTCTGTGGTATAAAAATGTAGATGATTCAATCTGTATTTAATTTTTTCATATATAACCTAAAATCTCATAATGCAGCTTCTCTCTTTAGGCTTAAAATGGTGTTTATGTTAGAAAATCCATGAATAAACTGAATTTCTTCCTTTTGTCGGGAAAATTTTTAAACTTATGTATATTACAGGGAAAAGATGTTTTTGTTTTTGTTTTGTTTTGCTTTCAGCCTAAAACTCATTGTTGAGAAATACTGAGTCATCTCACCCCACAAGTATACAAAAGGAATTTCCTAACTGAACAATTAGTTATGAGCATCTTCTGTGCCAGACACTGTGCACGGTGCAGGGGATAAAATGTTGAGCCAAAGCGGCACAGATCCTATTCTCATGAAACTTACAAGTTGGTGGATAAGGCAGCTGTTAGTCAAATAATCACGGATGTAATGACGTAGATTATATTCACTAGAAATTCTCTATGAGGAAAATGATTAAAAATAAGACAACCGTATTTTGCATGGGCTCATACAGGTGGAAATGAGAGATGCGTGACTTTAGAGCTGCTAGGTCTCCCAACCATCCTTGAATAGCCTGGTGTGGACCACAAAGGGGAGGAAAAATAACAGACATTGGGTGCTGGAAGGAGGTGAGACAGTGTGGACCACGCATGTAGGAGTACCACTTGTCAAGAAATCTCCCTGGACAAGAAAAGGGAAAATTATATTGGTTGTGAAATGTTAGGGGGAAGGGAAAATACAGTCTCAAGGAAGATTTCTACATGTTTTGCTATGTTAAACAGTTTGCCGCCCTCTGGAAGGAATCTTACCTTGTAGGGCTACATTCTTTTCCCAGGCATGGAGAGTTGCATTTGCTTTTCCTCTGAATGCCTCACTGAAACTTTCATACACATGCTGGATCCTATTTGTTCAGATTTGTTCAGACATGACTATAGAGTTATAAAATGAGATAAATATTGTGAAGGAGAGAAAACTAGTGCTATTAAAGCAATAGTGGAATCAAGGAAGACTTCTCTGAGGAAGTGGCATTTGATCCGAGACCTGAAAGATGGGCAGGAGTTACCTAGAGTAGGTGGAGCGGGACGGGCAAGTTTTCCAAGAAAACAACGCACGCAAATGTTCTGTAAGAAAAGGGTAAACCCTAACAAGGTCAGTGCTGCTGGAGGAGAGGGGAGAGCACTCCCAGTAAGGCTGCTGGAAAGGGAGTCTCTATACCTTAAAGAATCTAGGTTCTTATCCCAACAGGGAATGCCATTAAAGGATAGCATAATGATCAGACTTTCATTTGCAAAGATCACTTGAGCTTCAGTGTAGATTAGAAAATCAACTGGAAAGCAAGAAGGGTGGAGCGGCTCTCCCAATAGATCAAGCTGGAGATGACAGTAAATTTAACTAAGGTGGCAGGAGAGAAGTGCGCAGAATGAAGGTGTTTACAACGAACCAAAATGCTAGAAAATCTGTTTGATTAGAGACCCAGGATCACACTTAAATATTTTATCTGATCACTGGATGGACGGAGTGACTTAACTGAGTTTGGAAAGACTGAAGGAGACCAGGTGTATGGGAGGAAGTTCACAAACTGAGAGAAACTTTGGAGCTTGAGGTGCCTTTAAAACACCCAAGCAGAGAGCTCATAGAGATTTGCGTACTGGTAGATAGAGCTTGCTGCCAAGAGCATGGCTGAAACTTTGGAAAGCACACCATATAAGATTTTCATAGCACCACCACAAATCGCTCTTACTTCTGTGAAGGAGAAATGTCGCTGCTCTATCAGTAAACAAAGGATGTGGCAGCCATCAAGCCACCACATTGCAGCCTCCCCAGGTGAGCCCTGGGGGAACGCAGGATGGAAACAGGATGTCCCGCATCAAGCAGTCAGCTGCTGCAGCCACACCCGACGGTGCACCCTGAGGGGACTCAGGATGAAAAAGCACAGGGCACTGGCCCCAGGTAGCTGAGGTGCATGTCAAAGGAATGATTTCAGTGAGCCCAGACTCTTGCATCTTCCCATACATAGAAAAGCGCTAAATTCCTTAGCTTGAGGTGTCTGGTTTTCTTTAATTAACAGTAATCTCTTGATATTCTGACCACCTGGTCTTTGTTGATTATTTCCTGTTGTCATCCGTCTCCCCGCACCCCGGCCCCGCCCCGCCTCTTCAGAGCAGTCCCTCAGAGTGATTTGAGAGTCCTGTCTCCCGGGCTTGAAGTCCTTAGAAAGTCCGCCAAATAAAACATGATTCTCAACTTGTAGGCTGTGCATTTTTTCCAGTCAACACTTCTCTCATCTTCCCCCCACGACCAATGTCTATCAAAGACATCATCAGTGGCTCAGAGTCAAACATCCAACTTAATTTTTACACATTCATCCTTAACTTAAACCGTTAAAGAAAAACCTCACTTTAACTTGGTACCACAATACATTCATTCAGTGTGAAATATTTACAACCAGGGAAAACATATGTAGCCAACTCCAGAGCAAAAGAATACAGGATATGTGTATGAATGTATAGATATATTTTGATCTGTAAATGGACACAAAACTCTCTAACATAACTGTGATCAAGATTTGTAATCTTTTTTTTCCAAAAAGGGGCAAGAGTTTTTAATGAAGTGACATTTTACTGTTGCTTTTCTTTCTCCACAGGTGATTTTTTATGTATCTCTTTAGTAAACGGTTCTGTTCAACTCCGCTACAATCTTGGTGACAGAACTATCGTTCTAGAAACTCTCCAAAAAGTAACTATTAATAGAAATACCTGGCATGTGATTAAAGCAGGAAGAGATGGTGCAGAAAGCTACCTGACTTTGGATGGGATAAATGTAACAGAAAAAGCCAACGCTAAAATGAGCTCCCTGGACACAAATACCGACTTCTATATTGGAGGAGTGTCATCCTTAAATCTTGTAAATCCCATGGCAACAGGGAAAGAACCTGTAGGTTTTCAAGGTTGTGTCCGAGAAGTTATTATAAATAATCAAGAATTACAATTAACCGAATTAGGAGCAAAAGGTGGTTCAAATGTAGGTGACTGTGACGGGACAGCCTGTGGGTACAACGTGTGCAAAAACAGGGGTGAATGTATAGTAAATGGCACAACTTTTTCTTGCAGCTGCTTACCACATTGGGCAGGAAATACATGTGACCAGTCTGTGTACTGTTTGAATAATCTTTGCCTCCACCAATCTCTATGTATACCTGACCAATCATTTTCTTACAGTTGTTTGTGTACTTTGGGTTGGGTGGGAAGGTATTGTGAAAACAACACTTCATTTTCAACTGCAAAATTTATGGGTAATTCTTACATTAAATACACTGATCCAGATTACAGAATGAGAAATCTTCAGTTCACTACTATATCTTTAAATTTCAGTACTACCGAAACAGAAGGTTTAATTGTATGGGTAGGAAAAGCTCAAAATGAAGACGATGATTTTCTGGCAATTGGTCTCCATAATCAGACCCTGAAAATAGCAGTTAACTTAGGAGAAAGCATCTCTGTACCTATGATTTACAGCAATGGTACATTCTGTTGCAATAAGTGGCACCATTTAATTATAATTCAAAATCAGACTCTTATTAAGGCCTACCTAGATGACAACCTAATTCTCTCTGAGGATACTAATCCACACAAAAAGTTTGTTGCTCTCAACTATGATGGTATTTGTTATCTGGGGGGCTTTGAATATGGCCGAAAGGTAAATATTGTTACTCAAGAGATTTTTAAAAGAAGTTTTGTTGGCAAAATTAAAGATGTATTTTTTCAGGATTCAAAAAAAATTGAGTTAATTAAATCGGAAGGATACAATGTTTATAATGGTGATGAACAAGATTAGGCTAACAAACTAGCAATTTAAATACATAAAATATATATGTAAATATAGTTGATAGTTATTTCTTTGGCATATTGTTTACTGGAAATCAACTGTTTACTATTACCTGAAACAGTCTAAATGTTAACACTTCTTTTTTTTTATAAGCTTATAAAATATAGCTGAAGAAAAGATTTTGGTCATTTTTCCTACATCCAATTTATCTGAGTCTTGAGTTTTCACTCCATTAGTTCATTTACTGTTTATTCATTTGTGAACTGTTTTTTAAATAAAATTTAGGTGAAAATGAATTAGTGATACATACAAAGAAAAATAAGAAAAAGGCAAAAGTATTAACCAAAGGAAAAATTAAAATTATTAACAAAGGAAATATCATAGCCTATTACATGGCTCAGCTATGAATAGTTATATGATTGAAATAATGTGAAATCTGAATACAGACTTAAACCAAAAATCAATGAATGAATGTGGGGAGGCAGAGATGGGGGAGAGAAGAGTTAGCTGGTGAAAGTTAAATCCTTGTCTTCCACAGTAAGTTATCAATAGATATTATAGTTTTTTTTTTAACTTAAAAAGATAGCATATACATGTCACTCACAAATATCCTAAGAAATGTCTAAAAGAATTGGACGCAGTTATCTCCAGAGAGCAGTGCAGACACTGTTGGGTTTTGTTTATAAATGTTGTAGAATTTCTTGACTTTTTAAACCATGTACTTATATAACTGATCAAATTTTAAAATTAAACTGCATTTATATTTAACCATTCAAGGCTACAGGTCTCCAAAGTGAGCATAAAACAGGTTCTGAATAATGTTATTGAAAATTATTTTCCTGATAATATCTGTTCCATTAAAAGCATAACTTGAGAAAGTACATTTTGCCCAAACACCAGTTACTGGTGTAACTGTGAAGAGCATTTTCACCCTCCCACCGTTCAGACTGGGAGACAGTCATTGCTGCTGTTGTTACTTAACATTTTCAGAGTTTGGTATTTATGACAATTTTGCCACCAGGAAAGCAACTGACAACACATGACCGACATAAAGCTCTAACAGGTAGAACAGGACCGTGTGGAGGAAAAAAATCTTGGTAATAGGAGCATGTAAAGTTGAAAAGGAAAAATCTATAATTATCTATTAAATGGAGAAAAGACTTTACACATAGGATTGATGCACAGTTTAACTTGCCAATGCTATTAATAATCAAAATCTGCCTGTACAGATTCCAGTCTATACAAAGCAGCTAGATGAACAGTTTATCATTGCAGAACTTTACAGATTTTTTTTTTTGACTTATTTTTGCCACTCCATTGCAATCAGAAAGCTAAAAACAGTCTTGCAAAGCCCCAAAACCAAAGTTAGGAACTTTGGCATTATTCGAAGGGACACAAAGTGTCCCCAGACATACTATTCCTATCAACATTAGAAAGTGTGTGAGCAAAATATAATGTAAGGTAGAACTGCAGAATGTCTATGCATCAATTCAAAGGTTTTGTTTTTTAACAGAAACTACACAAGACAACTCCATCCAACCTATGCTGAAAAACTGTGACCTAAATTTGCTTTGGTCCATACCATTCCATTTAACTTTGGAGTTGAGATCATAATGTTCTAAAAAAATTCCTTTTAATAGTTGACTTTCAAAGATACACATTTTATGCAAAAAGGCAAGAAAGCTGTTTTAGGAAGGCTACAAAAGCTTCAAGGAAACTTTGCCTATACCACACACCCATCACATTTGGCCACATCTTCTCATAATACAGTGTGCCTTTCTTTAAAGCAGCACTTCCCAAAGTAGAGTCGAAGGACCCGAGGGCCCCTAGATATTTCCAGGGGATCCAGATTCTTCCTTTCCCAACGACAATTCTGTGTGAAGCCAGATCTTCATGTATTTCAAACAAAATGACATATTGCCAAACATTAAATGCAGAAGCAGATAAGAGAAGCCAGCTATGTCTTAAGTCAGACACACTGGAGACGTACAAACATGAAAAAGACCTGTCTCTTAACTAAACTGACTTAGCTTGGAAGTTATTTTACATAAAATGTTATTACCATATAATGGGATTACTGTCAAACAAGTATTTTTACAATTTAAAAGATTGTAATTTCTAATACGCTAAATAAGGATAGACGCAATCCAAAAAAATAGAGGCCTCATTAACTGTTAACAGTGTAAAGGGGTCTTGAAACCAGTAAGTTTGAGAAGTGTTGCTTTAAAGCTGCTTCTCACGGCTGTAGTCTTACATTCAGATGTGACCACTGGCCTTTCTACACCACACTGCAAGCTCCAAGAGGTCGGAGGGTTAGGGTATTGCTCACCACTGAATTCTAAACCTAGCAAATGCCTGAAGAATAGGCACAAAAGAAGAAGTGAACACTGCTACCTAGAGATTCTCCTGTAAGTCAGAATGACTTGGTTAAAATATTTTTTCGCCTTAAAATCCAAAATTTCATGTGGTAAGTTATCAACATTATTTGTTTTTGCTATCCTAGTGATGATGGCGTTGAAGATTTCCTATGTGATATGCTTTTCCATCACAAAATAAAAATTGCTAAAAACCCTTCAGATCATTTTACTATAACGTCATGATGCTTCTGAAACAAAGTGTTGAATGTAAACATGAGAACATTTTTTAAAGTAAGCTGAAATACCTTAGCCAAGAGATAGAAGTATTTACCTATAAAACAGTGAACTCATTGTTTTAAGACACTTCTAGCTATTGACCTAATATTTGTGTTTCAACTCACCCATTCATGTACTCTCTTGCTCTATACATGAATTAAAATTCTTTATGAAACAGAAGCCAAAGAATCGGGGTGTTTGGCACCGTCATAAGAGCAGTAACCAATTTTATTTATGATTTGCCTTGGCAGACAAAAGTCAAGTGTTGACTATGTGAACTGCTTTTTGTGGTCATTACTAAGTGGCAACCTGACCATTGTTTTACAGGGATCTGAGGAGGTGGGAATAATGCAACCGCTATGTTCAAACATTTAAACTATTTGCTTTAATAAGATCCTGTTCACCAGCAAGCTCTCACAATGCACTTCAACGTGATTTATACACAGCCGCTATTAAAAAACTGAGAACAGCTGTATGCAAATTCACCAGCTGACAAGTGGTTTTGTTATCGCACATACATAAACACGTTAATAATATCCAAGTGGCTTAACTTGTCACTCCACTTTCCTATTGTTGGTATTATGTTTCTTAACTTTTAAACATTTACTATGGCCTTAGATGTTTCATAACTCCAAAAAACTTGTAACTAGGATTTGGTTCACGTACAATTTAAGCTACAATTAGCAAGTTAAGAGATATGGTAAATAATGACCCTCAAGGTTGTACATCTCAATCCCTGGAAACTGTAAATATGCTAGGTTACACAGGAAAAGGGGAATTAAGGTCACAGATAGAATTTAGGTTGCTAGTCAGTGGACCTTAAAATAAGTTTATCCTGGGCTTCCCTGGTGGCGCAGTGGTTGAGACACGGGTTCGTGCCCCGGTCCGGGAAGACCCCACACGCCGCGGAGTGGCTGGGCCCGTGAGCCATGGCCGCTGAGCCTGCGCGTCTGGGGCCTGTGCTCCGCAACAGGAGGGGCCACAACAGTGAGAGGCCCGCGTACCGCAAAAAAAAAAAAAAAAAAAGTTTATCCTGGATTATCTCTGTGGGTCCACCGTGCTCACAAGGGTCCTTAGAAGTGGAAGAGGAAATCAGAAGGGTGGGTCAGAGACGGCAGAAAGACTCAGCCCCATGTTGCTGACTCTGAAGATGGAGGAAGGGGCCATGAGGCATGGAAGGTGGGTGGCCTCCAGAAGATGGAAAACGCACAGAAATGGGTTCTTCCCAGAGCCTCCAGAAAAGGAACGCACCCTCCGACAACACTGAGATCCCCATCAGACTTTGATCCACAGAAGCGTAAGATATATCTGTGTGATTTCAAGCCACTAAATTTGTAATAATTTGTTACAGCAGCAATAGAAAACTAATAAAAGAGGACTGGAGAATTAGGATTTGAAATGAATATAAACTTTGCAAATCTGTACAGGAGAACCCAGACTTTTGGTTATGTCTTTTTGCTCACTCTGAGGGACGGGTGGCCCAGTGGCGTTTCAGACAGGTTGGTGTGATGGTGAGAGAAAAAGGGCTGTGAAAGGTGTGTGTAATCATCAGGCTTCTGTCCCTCTCCCATTCTCCATTCTCAGAGCACAACCACCACACATTCAGACTTTGGAGAAAACTAGAACTGAGCTAGGATTCCAGCTCTGACAACAGCAGTCTAACCTTGGATGAGTTTTCCAACTTTTCTAAGTCCCAGCTGCCTCAGCTCTAAGGTGAGTCGTCACCTTGCAGGCTGACCGAGGTTCACATAAAGCGCTCAACATGAGGTCTGACATACGGAGTGTTCATGGAGGCTTTCTTACCGACAAAAGGATTACAAGGGGCGGACTTGGTAAGTACTGAGACACCCTGGTACATTTTACTTAACAGGTGTGTATAAACTGTCTTAAGATGGTTCTAAATATTCGAAAACATCAAACTTTTTAAAGAGCAAGCTTTTCTTAAAACAGGAGAAACTAAAAGATGACCTTCATATAACTATTAGTTTGTGTAAGGATGGTTGGTAGGTGAAACTGAAAGAATGAGAATGGCTTTGGAGCTACTACTACTCATCTGAGAACTTTTCTCTTTTTCTCTTTCTTTCCTCACAAGTTAAAAGCCTCAAAATACTCAATATGTCCATACCTACTCTCCACAATATTTCAGTCCCAGCGGTTAGGAAGCCTGGTTCCAGCATTTAGCAGCCTTGTAGTACCAGATGGTCATTACTAACAGAGGGCTCTATGGGATCTACCGTGATTCTACGAGATACGAAGAAAGAATTTTAAATTTCCCAACAATATGTATAAACAACTATTGGCTAAGAGGTAATCAAAAACTGACTTAAAGGCTTTCTTCAGTTGGTTAATCCATTCTTCTTGTACCTTGCAAAAGAA